TGAGTTGATCATATCTATTATTGTGCATTGAAACAAATTACATAGTATTATGCCTTAAATTTGTATGGTAATGTTTTAATGAACGATGCTTTGAGTTGCCAATGATTTATCTTTTTAAAGATGAGTTATTGTTTCATATTGAGTGTAAGTGAGTTTAGGAAATTCTCTTTGTAGTTATTATAATTTAACATCTTTTTTAAATTCACTAGTTTTCGTGGTCCGTTTGACCAATTAATATCTTTCAATTAATTAAGGTTTTTAGTTGAGATAAAAAGTCAGTGTCACGAGCGGGATTCGAACCCTCGACTTTCGGCTAGTACGCCGCTGCTCTACCACTTGAGCTATCCGTGACTAAGAACCACTGGGACACCAACTTCCCATCTCAACCATTATTATCCATTATTAAGGATGTAATGACCGGCAGTTTTTAATGGTATATGTGATCCGTTTTGTTATTTTTGTATCTCTATATTTAGTATCGATTTGTTAGTCTTTAAAGCTACTTGATTCATTTTGTAGTTAATGGGACTTTTTTTTTTGTTAGTGCACATAACTTTTTATGTTATTCGCTGTGTTTTGCAAAAATTCCTTTGGAGCGACATTTTAATAAAAATCAATTTCTCGATGGTTGTAGATGGTAGAAACGCCCAATTTTCCATTTACAATGGAAATTAACTTAAATTTTTTCCATGGTAAGTTCCCAAATTGTCGTATTTCCAAGTAGAATGTCTTGGTGGAGGTAGAAGAAATCAACCCAGCATTGTTAATCAGTAAGAATGCAGTGATCACAGCAGTTGTTAATAGTAGAAGTGGATCAGGGATGTAGTTTTGGTACCAAACCCATACCGGTGGGGTTGAGATGGGAAGTTGATGCCCTAGTGTATCGAGGTCACGATAGCTCAAGTGGTAGAGCAGCGGCGTATCTAGCCGAAGATCGTGGGTTCTAATCCCACTCGTGACACTGACTTTTTTATCTCAATTAAAAACCTTAATTAATAGAGATTAATAAAAAGATACAAATTAATTATTATTTAATTTTGGTACATGTTTAGATTGGTATACATCCATCTTCTTCCGGACTTTCTAACTCGATTCTTGGGTAAAATCCTGAGTCCTTGACTTTATACTGAATTCTCTACATTCTGGGCATTCTGACTAAACTTGATAAATCATTCCATTTGAAACACGTTCATTGCTTTAAACTCGATTCCGGTTAAATTAAGAAAACCTTGAACTTTTAAAATTGACTCATGCAAACTTGAGCAATTAATTAAGTCTGAAGCTAGAGGACATGCGACCGGACGATTTGTGGAATGATCAAAGCGGTTGGACAGAAATCCACTTTATCTTGTATGTTTTTTATTACATTTATAACAGTTACAAAGAGGGGTAATAAAAAAGTTCTAAATATGGTACATATTTATATTGCTTTTAAAAAAATCTCTTCGTTATATTATTTTTGCCACGACCCAGTGGTAGAAGGGTAGTTTGCCTCGAGTGTTGTGGGACGATTTTTAATTTAATTGCTCCCTTGAAATGTATTTTGCCTCGTCGTTGGGTAGCGGAACATCGTGACCCCAATAATAAATTTCCGACCCCAAAGTTAAACCAGAAAATCAACATCGCCCCCGCTTCGAGGATACCAGGGAAAGTGATATCACTGTGCGCGCCGCCGTTTTCACTTCGCTTTTCAAGTTCCCGCAAGAATACTTAATGCCCCTTGAAGCATCCTATTTTTAACGGAAAAAAACTCACGCTCGAGTGAAAGCGAAGAACTTCATCTTATTCTTGTCGACATTTTGTGGTTTAAGCTTTGACTCCGATAACGTAAATATTTGATTTGATTTTTTTTTGACGTTCTGTAGATGATAATTTAAAAAAACATGTTACTAACAATGTGCCGCGATAATATTCAAAGTTCTTCCGTCCTCGCCCATACACGGACGTACTCTATGGGAAAGTGGGTGACGGAGGGTGAAACTTGGTTGAGAAGTTTAACAGGCAGAACTTTACACTGCTATAACATTGATTGAATTACCACACTGCGATGCAATTTTAGTAATATTTTGAAACTAATTATTATAAGGTTAGAACGGTTAGAGGCAAAAGGAAAAGTCGGCGACCCGGATTCGGTAGTGCCGCCAAAGGCAATGGACGAAATTTCAAGTTTAAATTCGCCGTATCGCCTTCAAAAGGAGATTGAAAATTAAACTGTGGGAAATGTGTTGGAATCGAATTTCAACTTTTGACTTTGATCATCTTTGATTAAAACCCCCATTCGATAGGGCAGCTCCCGGAAAAGCTTTAGAAGCTAGGCGGCACAGCTACAGCGCCTTTAATCGTTGAGCCAAATTGAGCAGGACTTAGATTTTTCAAGTTTGGTCCGCTTCAGCTCCGGGAGGCTTTGGGTCTTTTTTGGGTGCTTTTTTCCCTTTGACCGGCCGATTAGAGTAAAATATGAACAGGCCGGGTTCATTTTTCGAACGACCAATTCGGAATCGGATATGCCCCTTTGAATACACAATTGGTTTCGTTTTACTACACCTCTCGATATCCATTTTATCCAATAAGAAACGAATATGGATAAATAATAAATTGTTTTCTGAAGTGATGGATGAATCGTTTCATGTTGAAAAGCACGTGATACCGTTTGCAAAACTGTCTCGGACGACAATTTTTTTGGACTTGTTGTCGAAAGCGGTATCCTTCGAAAGTGGGTTCGTCGCTTTCTCGGGGCTCTTGTTATAAAAATCGAGCGCGAGTTCATTGTGCGTTACCATCCTCGATGAAGACATTGACGTTTTAATCTGCCTACATACAAAGAATACGTCATTAAATATCTAGTTGTCTAGAAACTGCCCTGTGATAAATAAACCGTCCTAGGGTAAGGTGCGTTGTTCAAAACGCCAGTTCTTCGGATTTCACACTGTCAAAACTCGTCTCTCCTTTTAGTTTATCAAACAGATAATCGAGATGGGAGAAAGTCGTGGATTTGAGATATTTACAACGGCGCCCTTACCTGGTCATCATGTAGGAGGCGTCATCGTTCCAATAAAGCTTTCTCAGCATTTGCATTCCGCGACGATAAAAGAATCTTCCTTTCCAAACGTCTCCGGCTTTCCCATTGTTTCCAGACCCCCCCAATCTAGATTTGGTGTTTCTGAAGGATACACTCCTCGTAATAAGCAAACGCGCTTATTGAAGAACAACCGTGAGAATTTCTCAAATAAAAAGCGTCTTTTTCTGTTCACATTGCGTGAATGGGGAAGCATGAAATCGATTTTTACGTGATTAACGGCGAGAATGGGCGGACCAGAAATGAGTTCTGATCATACCTGTGACAATTACAATCGCCACCGTCTCAAATTCTCGCCTCCAATAAATAATGCACAACAGCTCATGAAATATTTAGTCGAATGTCATCATCGCCTCCCTCTACCACAACAATATTTCATTATCTATACCGTTTGGAAAATTACACCAGGGAATTAAGTACTTAACAATTAAATGTATAAATTTCAAAAAGTATTGCAACAATAAACAGAAACTTACATACAGAAAAAACTCTACAGAACCAGACATTAGTGTTTATTAAAATTCAATTTCACAAACACTGTATCAAGGAAAAAACTACAGAACCAGACATTAGTGTTTAAGTAAAATTCAATTTCACGAACACTCTGGATCAAGGAAAAACTCCACAGAACTAGACATTAGTGTTTAAGTCAAATTCAATTCACAAGCACTCTGGATCAAGTAAAAAAACTCTACAGAACCAGACATTAGTGTTTAAGTGAAATTCAATTTCACAAACACTCTGGATCAAGGGAAAAACTCTACAGAACCAGACATTAGTGTTTAAGTGAAATTCAATTTCACAAACACTCTGGATCAAGTCTTGAAGAAGAAAGCAAATTCAGTTGTTACTGCCAAGCTTTCAACCTATTTTAATGTCATCATCAGGGCAAAACAATCTTAAATATGTTATATTGACATATTTAAATTTTTTACATGCAAACTCAAATTTCCTTGAACACTCAGTCCTAAAATTGCCAAGGACTATAACAGTATTCAATTTCAGTACTGGTACAGTCCGTGTCTGAATTGAGTCTGACTTAAAGGAAATTTGAGATCTGCCTGTAAAAAAACACAAAAAAAAAACATGTCAATCTGTAAACATTGTTAAGATAGTTTTACCCTGATGATGACCTTAGATTAGATTGAAAGCTTGGCAGAAACAACTGAATTTGCTTTTGTCTTCAAGACCATACGTTGATCCAGTGTTTACGAGTGAAAAAGTGGTCGATGTTTCTATTAATGGAAATTCAAATTCTTCATATTTATCTCAAGAAAATACGTTTTCTAGCCATCATTGTATTTTAAAATACTTTAAATTTAAATGAATAGAAATTAAATAAAACAAGTTTTCTTGGTCTTGTCTTTTTATGAATGGATAAATATTCAAAAATGTCTTTCGTCATCAATGTTGGTGTAGAGCACTTTGTTTTTTCGACCGGTGTTATCAGTCATTTGGAAAATTTTAACCTTTATTTTACTAATTTTCACGCAGCTTATCATTGTGTTAACAGACAAGTGTTATTATGTTTACTATTTATTACATTATTGAAAGAGTAATCTTATCACTTTGTTTTTTTGATACTCTTCAATAATAACCCTGTTTTAGGTATACAACGCACATTATTAAATTTTGTATAAAATTCCACTTGAACTGAATTTTATGAAAAATTTAATTTTTTGTTGTACAGAAAAGTAGCTTTTAAAGAAAATGTAAAGACAGAAATCTCTCTGGTATTAAACAATAATATTGATTTAATGATAATACGAGGGAGATTATCTCGGTGTGCTTGAGAAAATAGATAAGTGATTGTTTTAGATTGCTTTAGATCAGAATGGTGTTCATTTGAAATAACATGTTCTTTCCTGTCGTGTATTCCACTGTCGGCCTGTCACGTCTGAAGGTTTTGTGTCATGAATTTCAGGGTAGCGAAAACGCTGGCGGTACAGGTGGAAGCGAAAGACGAGCCATCTCGACCAGGAGCAGGGGGTCGGATGAGCCTCACATCGGAAAATACAGACTCCTTAAAACTATCGGGAAAGGAAACTTTGCCAAAGTCAAGCTCGCCAGACATGTACCCACCGGCAAAGAGGTAATTTGTTTTATTTTATTTTGTGTTTTTCACAGCCTACATAGCCTACTATTCACATTTTACTATGATATACCACGCCCTAAATACAAAGTTAGTTGCTAATTCAATCAAAAAATACTACTTGGCCTAATATTCTATAACTAGCAAAACTTGTAAACTTTTTGTTTACGTTCTATTTTAATACATTTTGCCTATTTTAGGTAAAGAAATGACTGTTCAAATTAACTGATGACAAGTTGTTTTTTTTCTCTCTCTTTTGGTGTAAAGTTGGAAACATTCATCCAAAATGTTTAGTAACATTCATGTTTAATTCAATTTTATGTCTTTATTGGCCAGAATTCAGATACATAAAGTGCAAGATTTTATTTTTAATTGTATCACAAAATGTTAAATTAAGATCCTTGACTAATAATGTTTTATTACAGGTAGCAATAAAAATTATTGACAAAACTCAGTTAAATCCAGGAAGTTTACAGAAGGTTTGTTGTGTTTCAGATACCATTTTATTTCAGTGAAATATTTCTATTTTCAACTCTTGTTTCTTTTTCTTTGTTTATTTTAGCTCTTTAGGGAAGTTAGAATTATGAAACTATTAGATCATCCAAATATAGGTATTTTATTTTAATTTTATTATGTTAAGAAAGAAGTGTATTCGGATTATGTTGTAACTTTCTTATCATTCCAGTTAAACTTTTCCAAGTGATAGAGACTGAAAAAACGTTGTACCTGGTTATGGAATATGCTAGTGGAGGAGAAGTTTTTGACTACCTTGTCCTACATGGGAGGATGAAAGAAAAAGAGGCCCGAGCGAAGTTCCGACAGGTGAATTATAGAACAATAATTTAGTATCGTTTCCATCAATCACAAATTTTTTGACAAATTAAATATATTTGTTTCAGATTGTTTCTGCCGTGCAATATTGTCATCAAAAGAAAATTATACACAGAGATTTAAAGGTATTTAATCTGTACTACTTTTATTATATCTTTATTTCTACTTTGGTTATAAATAACGCTTTCAAACACAGGCTGAGAATCTTCTTCTGGATAGTGAAATGAATATTAAAATAGCAGATTTTGGCTTTAGTAACGAATTTACACCAGGGAACAAATTAGATACGTTTTGCGGGAGCCCTCCATATGCCGCCCCTGAACTCTTTCAGGGTAAGTCCTACAATTAACCCTTTATTTTTGCCTTTAACCAATGTCGTAATTTAATGAAGGTAAGAAATACGACGGGCCTGAGGTCGATGTTTGGTCCTTGGGCGTTATCCTTTACACGCTTGTGAGTGGCTCGCTTCCTTTCGATGGTTCCACCCTCAGGGAACTGAGGGAAAGAGTGTTGAGAGGAAAATACCGAATACCTTTTTATATGTCTACTGATTGTGAAAATCTCCTTAGAAAGTTCCTTGTGTTAAACCCAGCAAAAAGAGCCTCGCTCGAGGTATGAACTTTTTTCAATTTTCTATAAACATTAAAATAACATGAAAAAAAAAACCAACACATTATCTGAATATACTTTATAGACGATAATGAAAGACAAATGGATGAACATGGGACATGAAGATGATGAGCTCAAGCCTTATTTAGAACCAGAACCCGATTACAAGGATCTAAAGAGGATAGGTGTGTATTAAATATTTTGCATGTCACTATGATTAATGTTTTTTGTTTTTCCTGAGTTATTGCATGTATTTACTTGAAGTCTGCCATGAATAAAATAATTAAATTTCTTTTCGTAAAATTACCCAACATTTGGGGTTAATCAGGCATGGTTTCTCATTTGTAAATTGAACGGGTTGTTTCTGTTTTAGACACTTTTTTTCCCGTTTCTAATGTAATAGAATAAAAAAGAAGTTCTGTTTAGACTTTTTAATTTATTACATACTTTAATGTGTCTTAATGATTAATTGACTGACAAACAATCTATTAAGAAAATTATTTCTTGTAGTGGCAATGATTGGATTTTTATTTTTGTCATGCATTTGATTTTTTTAGATTTTTTTTTTTTAACAATGATATCCAAAGCATTTTTCCTGAGATTTCGTCCTATGGTCTGCGGGGTGATGAACCACAATTGGTCCTTACCAATATCTTCCTATCCTCGCTGGGTTGGTTTGTCAGAAGCATTTTGTCATTTCGTCATTTAAGACTGAGAGAAAGATTGTTTCAGACAGATCAACCCAGTGAGAAAAAAAATGATAAAGATCAAATTGTAAGCCATATGTCACTTGAATTGTATTTGACCAACTTCAATAGATAAAACTTTGGATAAATGAGGGAGCATGAGGATAAAAATATTTATGCATTATAAAAATGTGTTGTAAACTGTAGTCAAAGCATGCTGTTGCAATTCATACATTTATTTATTTTTTTATCAATGGTTTAATATTTTTACTTATTGTAAGTTAAATATTACCAATGTATATCCTGGCAAAAAGTGTTCGCGTTACTTAATAATAGTCCAAACAAAGCAAAAAAAAATCTATTTATTAGAGCCAGTCAATGTATTGTTTATTCTTCAAAATATTTTTTTGTAACTGAATCAAAACCTTTTTTTCCATGCATTTTCAATTTGTCGACCTTAGGGGTTGGTACAGGTAAGATTCAAAATTAATTGGAATGTAACCGAAAATAAACAAACGCTTTACCCCCAGTCCGTTTTAAATTTCAGTAGTCAATAATTTTTTAATTAAATAATTAGCTTTCCTCACATTCATGCCATATTATTCAAATGCATGACAAATTCTTCCCCCTCAGTTTTACAATAGCGGCCAACGGTTGATTGAAGGCCTAGTTTTGACCAAAGTTGTTTTTCTATTGCAGAAGCTCTAGTTGGAATGGGATATACTAGAATGGAAATTGAAGATAGCCTAACGCAAGCAAAATACGATGACGTTTTTGCTACATATTTACTCCTAGGCAGAAAATCTACTGATGTAAGTTTCCATTTTGTTATTTTTATTATTTACATTAAGGGCCATTTAATTTGAACAAAATTTGATTTAAGATAGATATTAATATATACTACATTGATGAATTGACTCGTCTAATATACTTTCTTTTTCTTTAAAGCCTGAGAGTGACGGCTCAAGATCAGGTAGTTCTCTGTCACTTCGGGGGAACCATCAAGGAAGTGCGGCAAGTGGTGGCGCCAATTCACCATCTCACGGCAACTCGAGATCTGTTCACAGATCAATATCCAGCAGTGGTACCAAGCCTTCCAGAAGGGCATCTTCGGCAGCAGCCGACACTCTCCGTGAGTCTCAACATCCTCCCTTCCATGCCCTCGCCCTTCACTCACACACCCTCATACCCCCAAACATATCCGGTACACTTTATTTTGTAATTTTTTTGTTTTCTTCTCTCCTTCATCTGTTTCGCCTTGGTTTGCAGTGCTCTTTCAAAAAATTGATCACTTTCTGCCACCCGTCCTTTTTTTTTTATTATTATTATTTTTATTATATATAATTTTTTTTTGTCCTTCTCAACATCTTACTAATGAATGCAAACCTTCTAATTATTATTATTTGTGCAGGTTTCTTTGTAGTTATATTTAGTACTTATTAGCCTTTAAAGTTTAGTATAATCATACTAAAAAAAATCATTAAAAAAAAAACTTCTGCGTGTACATTATAATTTATCATTAAAGGCTGATAGGTACATAAGATAAGCGCACAATAGGCACCATTATACCAACAGACACAATAATTCATTTCACCAGATTAAAACTAGGGTTATTATGTGCATTCAATCTAGAAATATTTACTACCCAATTAAAAAATAAGAACAGTAAGAGGAATTCAATATTCACACAGCTTTTTTTTTTTACTGTTCTTTCTGAACAAAAATATTGGAAGTAAATCAACTACACCCTTATTGTGCGCTTACTTCAGTGGGAAATTTTATTTTTATTTATTTATTATTATAAATTTTTTTTATTGAAACGAATGTTTGCTCGTACGTATCGTTCATTCATCATACCCTCACCCAACTACACTCCATTTTCTTTCAGTAGAAGTTTTCAAACGATTAACCACATTCTCCTAGACATCTTTTAATACGTATTGAGATGTGCTTTTGAAACTCGGCATCTCATAAATGATCTTAACCATTAGTTTTGCTATTCACTGTTGGAATAATTAACGTTGGCATCAATTCCAACTTTGTGCATGCAAAATATTGGTATGTACACATTTGTTGTTTTTAAGCATAGAATGTAATGTTTGCAGCATGGTTCATTGTCTTATTTTTTTTCTTTCATTTATTTAATTTATATATTTTTTTCGCATTTCTATTGGCCTCTTTTAAACTCTTAACATGATTTATTATGGTTTTCCATTTTAAAGTTCGCTAATTAAATTACAGGAAAATTTTCTCTCAGCCTTATTAAATAGTTTAAAATAGGCCAAATAGAAGTGGAAATTGTTATTTTAAGAACACTTAATAATAAACGATGCTTTTAATCAGAAATCAAATTAACTTGGATTAAATATTACAAATTGAAAAGTACAAATAAATATTAATAACGGTTCTTTTTTATTTTTGTTGACAAAATATTTGATTACATTCCATGTCAAAACACTTCAAAAGATAATAAACATGCTTAATTTGATTTCTGATCTATTCTGTACTATGCAATAATATATTTTATTTTTTAATTTGTTTTGTCTGGTTGCATTGATTTTTTCTTCCTTTCTGTCGAATAAAAAAAGTTTTAGTGCACACATGAATCTTGTTTTAAAATTACATAGAGTGCTTTAAAATGAAGAAGAATGACCTTTTAATATCAAGTATTTTATTGAAATGAAATTGTAAATTTTTCCCCACTCGATTTATAGCATCATCAGGCTATTATGTTTTCAAAATTGTTTTCAGTACTGCCAAAAAATTGATCTATTTGGCAGTTGATTTTTTTTCTTTCGAAATGATGCATTATTGATCTCAGAAATTTCTCAAAAATATTTAGGGCTAAGCAGTACTAATATTCAAAATAAAAACAGGAAGTACTAGGCTAGCAAATTTCAAATAAGAATTCTGTTTTGTTTTTGTTTTTTTCTTAAGTCTTTTTTTTACATATTGATTTTTGTGGGCCAATAAATCTAAATAAACCACAACAAATCTAAATGCTAAATATTTACATTTTATTTTAAAAAAGTCAATTGTCCAGGATGTTATGATGAAAATCAATGTCTGGAACAAATATTGGAACTTAATTTTTTTTTGTTTACAAGTTATTATTAAAAACAAACTTCAATCACTTTGTTACAAGGTTTTATTTTTGCACTAAAAATTTTTTACTCTTAGAAATTTAGCAGTTTCTTCTGCTCTTTTCCCATGGAGAAATTAATCGATACTTCCCATTTTCACTGTCTGTCTGCTTTGTTATGTCTAGATATTATAATTTCTAGGAACTAGTAATGAAATTGCCCTTTGAGACGAAATAGTACTCTGGTAGTTTTAGTTTACTAAAATACTCAAAATTTATGGCTTTAACGAAGTGTGAAAACTACTAGGTTTCGTTACCTCGGGGAACCTGTCGTTTCATCGTTTGTTTTAGTCCGATTGTCATTGCCGCCTTCTTTTTTTTTGCATGAAGTGACCTTCACACTTATGGCTGTTGATGCTATTTAAATCACACTATTAATGCTTTTTCTAGTCAAATTTCTGGTCGTTTAACATGCTAATGCTGTTGCGAGTAGCCAGAAAATTTACGCTCTTATTTCGATAATTAACAAAGGTTTAAGAATATGATTTTTAAATTTTCTCCATCTTAGTACTTAGATAGTACAGTAGTTAAAATTGTAACGCATTACAGTCCCTGTGGATTTTTGGGTTTTTGACAGTCCTCTTATCATAATTTTAAAAAATGATATAAAAAAAAGGGTTCCAAATTTTAACTTTGAATGACATACTTTTTATAAAAACACTAGGTTTGAACACAATGTTTATGAAAGGGAGCATAATATGTTACTATATTTGCTTGCTTTCACTTACCACCATTCTTTTTATTTTTAAACTGGGTTCATGATTATCCATCCAGTATCCAGTATGTACCAGAATGCGGTTTTATTTAGTGTTAGAAATTTGATCAAACACTGACCACTCTTTCATTCACTGGCATAGTTTTAACAAGAGAGAAAAACAGAGGAGTGAAAGAGAAACGATGATGGTAAATTGGTGTGTGAAATTGCTTTTATGTTCATTGTCTCGTTGAAAAGAACAGGTTTAACTTTGTTCAAGTGAGGAACTTTACTATTTTCGTTTTTTTCATTTGGATTGATGATTGTGTAAGTTCAGGTTTAGTGATTTTACTCGTCTGGTATGACTGAAATGTCCTTAACCGTTTGTCATATTTTATCACAAACTGTTGTCTATATTATTCCATAAACTAGTTTGAATCTCCGAGAATTTGTAATAAAGTCCTGAATTCGACTAGAATTTTTCTTTTCTTTTAATGAAGGTTAACAATTAAAATGTTATAGTCAGACCGAGTTGTCAGATTTGTATTCCAGATTGAAGATATTAAACAAAGTAATCACTTGCCCCATTCTGCTTGTTACAATAGAAGCTCATTTTAATTATTAATATTGTAGATTAATATTTCTATAGCATTTTTCAGTCAAATGAAACTTTTTTTCAAACAAATGAAACCTTTTTTCAATCAAATGAAAACTTTTCCCAAGCAAATGAAACCTTTTTTCAATCAAATGAAAACTTTTTTCAATCAAATGAAACCTTACTTCAAGCAAATGAAACCTTTTTCAAGCAAATGAAACCTTTTTCAATCAAATGAAACCTTACTTCAAGCAAATGAATCCTTTTTCAAGCAAATGAAACCTTTTTTCAAGCAAATGAAACCATACTTCAAGCAAATGAAACCATACTTCAAGCAAATGAAACCTTTTGTCAATCAAATGAAACCTTTTTCCAAGCAAATGAAATCTTTTTTCAATCAAATGAAACCTTTTTCCAAGCAAATGAACCTTACTTCAAGCAAATGAAACCTAAAACCTAATGATAACAATTATGTAGAGGAATAAATAAATGACATTATAGTACTACCAATAATTTCTATGATGATTGAATATTAATATTACAATAATTGAATTGTAAGGCTTAGATACAAGAATGTTTCTTGTGAAAATCTGTTTTCGCGTTGGCGGGGGTATCAGCGGGATTCATTTGATTGAAAAAAGGTTTCATTTGCTTGGAAAAAGGCTTCATTTGATTGAAAAAAGTTTCATTTGATTGAAAAAAGGTTTCATTTGCTTGAAAAAGGTTTCATTTGCTTGAAGTAAGGTTTCATTTGATTGAAAAAAGTTTTCATTTGATTGAAAAAAGTTTCATTTGATTGAAAAAAGGTTTCATTTGCTTGGAAAAAGGTTTCATTTGATTGAAAAAAAGTTTCATTGGACTGAAAAATGCTATATTTACTGTTCCAAGAAGTTGACCGAGGATGTAAAAATTTTATTATCTGTATTAACAAATTAATACAATTGTATTAATAATTTAATTTTACAAAAGCAGATGAATGTTTTATGAGGAAAAGTAGTTGTTACTTATTCATAACGTTACGCCCCATTCCGATAAAGCTTCTCTTGAATGCATTTTCCCCCGATATATTTTTTTATGTTAAATATTTTTGTTTTCTAGCCTGTAATTGCATTCATAAGATCCAACCTTTATTTAGTAAATGTAACCCTAAAACATAATCGGCCTGTTCCCCTATTGAGAAAGCCAGGTGGAGAGCAACCCTCAGTCGTATGATAATTGAGTTTGATTCCGATAGGTGGTGTCTCAACCGGCACGAATACCACAATGAATCATAACCACATTACAAGTGGAAGTGTGACTCAAGGAAGTAACTTCAAGAGGCAAAACACTGTGGATACGGCTACAATTAAAGAGAACACTGCCAGGCTGAATTCTCGACCTGCAAAGAATGCCACATCTACCTTACCCGTCCTTGATACGTCTGGTAATTTCTTTTTATTCCTTTTAAGAACAAAAAACAAATCTTCAATGGAATTCGTAAAATCTTCAAAAAAAAAAAAAAAGTTAGTTTTCACCGGAATAATAAATTTTGAAAGTAAATTTTGAGTAATACGTCATGTCTTAGTCGATTGATTGGCTTGTTTCAAGTTTTTATACATAATAATTAGCTTGTATTATGTTTGCAAAAATTCCATTTAAAAGAAAATTACCAGGTTCATTTTTATTTTATTTTTTAACTAAAGAAACATACAAATTCATACCTGTATTTAAACAGAGTTTAAAAAGTAGATTTTTTATTTAATTTCTTTATTACTAACGAGTTGAAGTTCCTAGCATGTTTTTCAGATTCCTTTTATTAATTATCAAATATAATTTGTGAATCTTGAAGTTGTATGTTTCCAATAGCAACTAGAGATTTATTTCCTCTGGTTATTTTTTTATATTTTTATTTATTTATTTTTTTGTTTAATAATCTAAAAAGGTAAGTACACTGTTATGCAAAAGACTGTTTCGTGCAACTGCACTATTTAGAATATGAAAGTTTGCAAATTTTTGTAATTTGACATCACCATCGTTCAAAAGTAATTACATAATGTTTAAAATAAGTAATATTATTCTGATTTTTTTTTTTTTAAGTTAATTTCAAATCCAAATATGTCAGTGTTTTTCCTGATAGTTACCAATGTCGGTAGGAAGTACCAAGTCTGTAGGATCTTTTAGACAAATTCAAAAATAAATTTATGACTCCACTGATCAATTACATTTTGAGAATTATTTTTAACATCTCATAAATTGTTTCATTTGTTTTTATCATAAAGCTACAGATTCAATCACTGTACTTGTAATAAAACATATTATTAACTGCGTTTAAATCTAGGCCATTAAATTTATCTTATTTTTATTAACAAAAAAATGTTACAGAAAACAACTCTAACAATTATGGCCTTTAAATATTTTTGATATTCCTTTGTACAAGTTAACCGATTAAATTAAATATATTTTTAAGAAATTAAAAGGATTGTGCTTAGGCTAAGCAGATTCTAAAACAATAATTTTGCTTTTTATTTTGATTGGCTTGCTTTTATGCATTATTTAAAAATTTGTGTTAACGTCAGAACCAAAAGGACCCAAGCTTCAAAACACTTTAGGTATCACTGCTCTTGCCTAGCAAACTCTTCTGATTTCCCACTTAAAAAAAAAAAAAAAAAATTACGATTGCCTTTGATTTGTGTTAAAAATGTTGACCAATAACCATATTATTTTCAGGAGTGTCAAGCCCGGGTAAACCAAGGGGGGTGACCAAGTCAAACACTATGAGTGGAAACAGGTCACTTGCGACTACGACAGCTACTGCGGGTGGTACAGTCTCCAGGAGAAGCACCTTCAGTTACGACACAAAATCCTCGTCAAACGAGAAGACAAACACTGCCGGTGAAACACCAAAGTAAGTCTGCTTGAAATTCACTCTCATTTCATACTGAAGCTTCATTCTGTCCATGCTGTCTGCCATAAAACGGTGATCAGCTTTTATTTTTAAAATTTTTTTTTTAATGCTTTTCAATTTTTGAACAAACAAAATTTTGGGTTAAACATTTAAATTATATTATACCAGCTTGGGAGGCATGGACACTTTGGGTCGGAGTGGTACAAAAGGTCACGTCAAGTCCGCGTCCATTTCAGCAACTACAACAACCCAACGTACTCCAGATGGGTTGTCTCATCCAATGATGCCTGCCCCCTATGATCACCTTCGTCCCAGGTATACACTCAGACCACACGACTTGGACAAATTCATAGTTAATTTTGTAAATCCACGAAGAATGTACAGATTCAATTAAGGTCAAAAGTCTTTCAAGAGATGCACATTTGAAGCGATATTAAAAAGAAAACAAATATTAAATAATTGTTTCTTTCTTTATATGATTAATAAAAAAATAAAAAAAGAGTAAAGTATTAATTATGAATTTGTCCAGTATATCGGCAGTGTGTGGAAGTGTTCCTTGGGTGTCACTTAGTCAGCCTTATGTGCCAAAGTTTGTTCTATATATTTCATTTTCATTATATAAAAACTCAGACGATCCTTAGCTAGCTTCAAAAATTATTTTCATAGACACCGACATTCATACCATCATTCATCTTTTATATCATTTGCAGAATTGTTTTTTTGTTTTTAAAGTGGATGTAGCTTTTGTGTACACAGCATTTTTCTCTCTGTCTACATGTTCACACTCATAAGAAATTTTGTCTCTTCTGTCCTGTCTTAGATGGTGCCCAAATAACATGATTTTCCCGTACGTTTTCCTTTTTCCATCCCTCCCGGAGTAAATTTGTCCCTTATTGCAAAATACTTTGTGGATCTCTATTACAAGCCTTTTTTTATACGGAAACATTTACAATATATTACTTCATGTGATAGGGAAATATTTCTTTCTCAGTATTTTAAAGAAAATTATGAACTATAATAAAATTAATGGACTGCGCAGATCTAATTCTGATTGGGATTCCAGCAATAACTCAAATCATATTAACCCCTTATCCATGAGTCTTTTTCTAATGTGATATCCAATGGACTAAAAAAAAGGTAATAAGATAAATATTAATCAAATTTGTGCCTGAAAAAAATACTAATTTGAAGTGAAAGTTATTACGTCTCACTAATATCCTAATAAATAATACATCCTCCCAAATTTAAACTAATCCGTCTAGCTAAGGATTTTTTTTCCAAAGTTTTTTTTTTAAATATTCATTATAACATTGACATCGTGTGCATGGGGGCTAAGTGTCAACAGTTCAACACTACTACATACTGTGGCACAAATTTTATTTTAACAAGTTGATTTCTAAAGTATAAATACGTTGAGTCATATATGTACTTGAATGTTATTGTAGCAAGCAGTAGTATCACAGTTATGATGTTCAGGCTTTTTTTTTTTACTAGTTAAAAACAAATATGCTCGCATTAATCTGCATGAAGCTTTATTTTAATTTAAGTAACATGTTAATGCTTAGTGGTAATGTTCAATCATTCATTCCATCATCATTAAAAAAGACAACTATTCATTTTTCTAATTACAATAATTGGCAAAAGAAAGCTGGCTAGTTTGATATCATGAAGAGAAATTGCAAATTGATAATTTTTTAAACTATCTTTGAAAAAATAACCACAACATTACATGGCTTTGTTTTGCTGCATCAATGGTTTAATATTTAAAATATTCACTACTTTTCGTGGTCCGTTTGACCAATTAATATCTTTCAATTAATTAAGGTTTTTAGTTGAGATAAAAAAAGTCAGTGTCACAAGTGGGATTCGAACCCACGATCTTCGGCTAAATGCTGCTCTACCACTTGAGCTATCGTGACCTTGGACACTAACTTCCCATCTCAACCCCACCTTTTGAATTTTCCCTCCTTTTTGCCATTTTTCAAATGTCGTGTAATCTATCATTCATTTTAACTTATTAAATTCGCTAGTTTTTGTGGTCCACTTGACCACTTAACATCTTTCAATTAATTAAGGTTTTTAGTTGAGATAAAAAGAGACATCCGTCAAGCGGACCTCGAAAACTAGTGAATTTAATAAGTAAAAATGAAGTACACCTTTGCTAGAGCTCTCCGTGGTCATTTCATTTGTTGCCGAGAATCAAATAGATTACACATTTGAAAAATGGCAAAAAAGAGCGAAAATTCAGAAAAGTGGGGTTGAGATGGGAAGTTAGTGTCCGAGTGGATCGAGGTCACGATAGCTCAAGTGGTAGAGTAGCGGCGTATTTAGCCGAAGATCGTGAGTTTGAATCCCGCTCGTAACACTCACTTTTTTAACTCAACTAAAAACCTTAATTAATTGAAAGATTTAAAATATTAATATTTTATTACAAATTGCACATACATCTGAAGATTGGTCATCCTGGTCAGCCTCCCGCAGTATGTTTAATCGGACATACTCCTTTAAAAGATGTCTGTCTAAACAAAACCATAACTCGGGAGGACCAAGATGATCGGGTTCGAACAAATTTCCCACCACCCCAACACTTCACAATTTGCACATGTGTTTTGTGTGTGCGCACATTAGCACAAAGCATTTATGTGTGCTGTTGAATCAAAAACAAATATTATTGTATTTAATAAGATGATTGTATTTTTATTTTACTATTTATTTTATATGTAACATATAAACTAGGCAAGGAATTTAAGCGGATAACAAGCTGAAACAATTGGGATTTTGTATGGGCAATAGAACTAAATTTAAATTTCGTTTTGCAAGTTATCCTGCAAGAGTTTCAGAACTTTGTCTATAAACACGACTTACGCGATTTTGTCTGCGAGTATATACTAGCCTTTATAATTTTTTTACTTAAAGTTTACTTTCTCTAATATTGGATTGTCTGGAATATAATGCAGGTTTTCTTTCAATTACCCCTCTATATAATAAACCGTTTTAAGTTTCATGGATTATTCTTTTGTACTATTAACACTTTTTAATCTTCAAAAAAAAGTTTATTTACCTCAGTAGCAATTTGTTACTTGGGAATAATTCAGTCTTTACTAAGATGTCAACATGTGATTTTTGCGTAATTTTGTTTTATGAGTTTAAACTCGTTCAGAATGGTGCCCAATCGGCCAGAAACATTAAGGAAGTCTGGGGCAATAGTAATGTGAGTGAGAGGCACCGTTCTGAGATGGTTTAAAAAAATTTCAAGGATGAGACTAGCCTTAAAGATAAAGAGGGTTGTGGAAGGATTTCTTCTTTAGATTATGATGTTCTGTGAGGAAATTGCAGAACTGTTCAAAACATCTCTCTTTCATTTAGCAAATTGACTATCGATGACCACCTTAAGGCAATTGAAAAAGGTGAAAAAGCTCGAAAGTTAGGTGACTACGTAAAAAATCATCGTTATGAGGCACAATACTTCTTTGCCGAAACAGAAACAAACCTTTCCTGGATGGAATTGTTATTTGTAATAAAAAGTGGATTTGCTACAATAACAGCACGTTCTGGACAGTGGCTTGACAAAGGAGAAGCTGCATCACATTTTCCAAAGCTCCCAATTCACCAAAAAAAGGTGATGGTGATGCTTGTTTCTTGAATCCTGGCAAAACAATCACTGCTGAAATCTATTCCTCTCCAATTGAAGCAATGCACCAGAAATTGGCATTACTGATGTCACCTTTGGTTAATTGGACAAGGCCGATTCTGTTACATGTCCCGGCCCCATGTCTCACGTTTGACAACACGAAAAATGTTGGGCCTCTCATCTACCAAATACCATTTTTTTCAGACACCTCAACAATGATCTACAAAAAAAAAAAAAATCATTGACCAAAAGTCGTTAGAAGCGTTTACAGAATTTGATAATTAAAAAAAAAATAAGGGCGTCGGTGGCGCAGTGGTTTAGGCTCATCACTGCAATGTAAAGGTTCCAGTTCAAATCCAAGTGGCCCTGCATTCGGACTAGATGTACTTACAAATGAGAAAGATGTATTGATCAAAAGTCATTAAAATTTTTAGAAATACAGACTCAAAATTCTATTCAGAATTATTCAGAAATCATGAGAAACGGTCTGGTGTGATGTAGGTTTCAGAAAAACATTTTCTTTATCGTGCCAACGTTTCGATCTTTATTGAGATCATCTTCAGGGCCTGAGATTTACAAACATTGTTTACATTTAACAAATACATTTAGGATGTGAAAAAGTGAATTTAAATAATGCAAAATATATACATGTATATATTTTGCATTGTATAAATTTACTTTTTCACATCCTAAATGTATTTGTTAAAATTAATAAAGGTTTTCAGTTGAGATAAAAAAGTCAATGGCACGAGCGGGATTCGAACCCACGACCTTCGGCTAGATACGACGCTGCTCTACCACTTGAGCTATCGTGACCTCGATCCACTCAGACACTAACTTCCCATCTCAACCACACCTTTTGAATTTTCCCTCCTTTTTGCCCTTTTTCAAATGTCATTTAATCGGATTGGACTCTCGGCGACAAACGAACCTTAATTAATTGTAATATATTAGTTGGTCAAGCGGACCACGAAATAAGTTAATTTAAGTATTTGTTAAATGTAAACCATGTTTGTAAATCCCAGGCCCTGAAGATGATCTCAATAAAGATCGAAACGTTGGCACGACAAAGAAAATGTTTTTCTGAAACCTACATCACACCAGACCGCATCTCACGATTTCTAAATAATTATCTATTAACGGTCACTAACCACCACACAATTCTATTCAGAGAGAATAGAAAAGATGCCATCATGTTGGGAGAAATCTATTGAGAGTGATTGGTGGTATTTTAATTAATAAAAAAGTTTTAAAATCATTTATTTGTTTTTATTTGCACCTACAAACTGCATTATTTTCTGGACAACCTAATAATTTTATTTTTCCAACTAGACCCTTAAAAACAGGAAATATACCCTTAATTTGCTTTGTAATGCACGGCATTCATCCAAACAGATAGCAGTTTTACAATAATAAACCGTTTACGAATTTTGTAATTTTTAGAATATGCATTCAGTTAGAGCGCACACATTTTTTTTCCAGTACAAATTCAAAATGTATATAAGAGATTTCTTAATGACTCATTTTTTCAGAAGTGGTGTCGGCGGAGTCGGTGTTGTCTCAGTCAGTGCGACAAACCGAGGCGGGTTCCAGCAGCCTTTCCCCCGCAATGTGCCAAGCCGTTCGACTTTCCATAGCGGGCAGAACAGGCAGAGGCCGTACATTTCGGGCGCCCCTTCGCCTACGGATGCGGCTAGGACGACCAGTTTCTTTTCCAAGCTCTCATCAAGGTTTTCTAAACGGTCAGTAGCACCTGCTTGCCACTCGCTCACAAGACAAATGCTCAATTGCTCACCCCAGTTAGCCCAAGACCCTCAAATGCCTTCTAACACTAATAAAACCTCCTGTCAACCTGAACTTAAAATCACTATCTAATCATTTATTAACTCCTATTTGTCCCCTTTGTTTGCCACTGTTTTTATTATTATTATTAATTTTTTAAACAAGTTGCACTTAATTTGCTTGATTTTGTTTTATATTGTAACAATTTGTAAAAAAAAAAAGTTCTGTACTTAATTTTTTTTTTCTTCTGTACATTCATTTTTATTAGTATTTTATTTGCTTTAAATAAAAATGTACATTTCTTTCTTCTTGGGTATTGCCTTAACATTGTTGTTAATGTTAACCCTTTATAGGTATAATAAAAAAAAATCTATTCATTGTTTTGATATTATTTATATTTTAAAGCTACCGGTTATTTACAGCATTATCAATTTTATATATTATTATTTTAACTGTTACTAAATTGGTTTTTATCGAAATAATATTCAATCATTTAAAAAAATTAAACAAGATACTAGGCGGATTTATAAATTCTTCCGTTTGACATTTCCGTCTGTATGGCTATTGAATTTTGACTAATTTTTTCCCCTTAAAAAGGTTTTTTTTTTAAATTGATTTAATTTGTTTAAAGGTAAGACCTTAATTAATTGTTCATTTCCTTAACAATGTCCAACCTATAAAGGGTTAAAATCTGTATTATATGATACTAAACTAGTGCAATTTAGAAATAGTAAATCTGTAATTGATGATGTAAAAGGGAACATGTTGAACAATAAAAAAGACAAAATTACAAAAATATAGCTTGTTATTTCATTGACTCTTCAGTAGATTTAAATTATTTAATAAGTAATCGTTTTAAGATATAATCAGCTTCCAGCATCCACTCAAGAAAATTAGATAACTTAATGGTTATATTTGAAATAAGATTTTTATAAAGCAAGCTGATACTTTTTTTTTTTCTAATTTAAAGACCGATGTAGGTTTTTAAGTACAAAAATAAGGTTTTCAAATACTCCAGTGTATAAAATTTATATTATTCATGCATTCTTAAAATTTTATGAACGTCGATTACCCCAAAAAGAAGAAACTGGAGTACAATCTGAAAGAATAAGGCCATTAGTCAGTCCTCGAAAAATAAAAATTAACGATAAATTTTCAAATCAATATTTCATTTGAACACACAAGACCCCGTGTGGTGATTTTTTTCTGAGCTTTCAATGCTTTCTGAGAAAATTTCACAAAGCTTTTGGAAAAGAACATCGTTTCATTACCACCGGGTAAAACAAAAACGTTTGACTGCGGTGCGTCATTATCATTGTTTTATTTCTTGTACTTATTCATATTGATATTTCACATTTGAAACAATCTCTTGAAACAACAAACATAATAATAATCTGTTTAAAAATACTCGTTATTTGGCGTGTATTTTTGTAAACCAAACAAAATCCAAGGGGGCGTGTATTGTGAAAATTGGTTCAGTTAAATCGCAACTGAATTTTGCCGAAGTATTTTTGCAAATGTTTACTTAGCATATGGCAATGAAGCTTGGCATCTGTGATATGCCTAAAGGCTGCACGGTTTTAATATCAATGCTGAATACTTGTGAAGAAAATTGGTAAGTAATTAATATCTGAACGCACTTCTACAAAATAAGATGGATGAATGATTACAATAGAAAAACAGACTATTTGAGGAAGGATGCTTTTTAAAAATTCAAATGTGATTATGTATAGATTTTTAAGGCAATCACAAATTAAATATTTCAAAAGCTCACGTTTTTAAAGATCGCACATCTGCTTCTAAATAGTGACGTACTTTACCTTGAAATTAACAGCAGTTTAATACAATTATTAATTAATAACATAGGTATTTTATATTGTCATGTTCCTTTAACTATTGACTCAAGTCAATGGAATTATATTGCACTCGTTTAGTTTTGGATTTTTAAAAAATATTTTTGATTTTTTCTAGTCCTCCTCCTAATTCCCAACCTCAATTAACCAAACTATTTCTGCTCCTCAGTACTCTCATATTTGCATGTTTAATAAAGCCATTAACTTACTATCGTTAAATTCAGAACTATAGTATTTTAGAAATTTGCATGTTTGATTTATTTTTATACGTCTGAATGTGGGTGCACAATGTTCTATGTAATTTGCTACCCAATGAATTCATTTTTATCTATATATTATTATTTGGCCTGTTTAATTATTTTATTACTACTATCCCCTGGAACACTTAGCAAAGACCACTTGTGAAAGCTTTTCTGAATCTATTTCTTTTTTATACTTCTGCTCCCCATAAATTTGTTGCAACCATTAGTGTAGTCACTGTGTTATTGTTTCTTACGAATAAAACTATAAAGAGGGAAAAACATAAGTGAAAAATAACAAAATTCAAATTTGAAGGCATTGTGCATCCACTTTTATTTATTAATTTTTTACTCATATGAAGCATTTAAAATGTTTTGGGAATGAGGTTATAAGAGTTTTTTTTTTTTTTTTTTGGTTTTTATTTTCATTCTTTTGCTATGGTTCACATGATTGATTAATTTTATCATATTGAATATTAAACATTTATTATTGTAAATAAGGGAGAAGTGAGTTTTTGAGGACGAGGCTTTCACAGTTGGGTCGTTGCAAAGTGGTGGGTGAACAAAAATGATACTCACACTTTGAATTTCTAATTTTAGGCCTCAAAACTAGTAACGAGGAACTGTCTCCCACCTGGCAACAACTCAACGTGCTCAATCGATTCACTCTCTTTCCCTTTCTCTTCCTCTTTCTCGCTCTCTCTTTCTCTCCGTTTGATAACGAGTTATCAGCATATACTGTCGTGCTTTTCATTACTTAAAAAAAATTAAATTGTGCAGTTGGTGTTAAAAAACGTTGAAAATATTGTGGTAGTTTTAAATTTTCTAAGTGAAATGTAATCATGAGAACTGTTCGTTTTTTTTATTAGTAATTACATTTTGTATAATTTTTTTTAATTTAGTTTAAAAAGAAATAAGAGGTAACTTTTGATACTTAACGCTAGGAATAATTTTGTTTTCATATCTATACCTCCATGTCTTAGCTTTATCAGAAATGTATATACCTAAGAATATTTAAACGTTTACAAAAATGTTGAAATTGAAGAAAAAAAATATATGTTCGTTGTTAATTGTTGTTCCAAGGATTGATAGATGGAAAATATTTATGCAAACTGTAATACGCCTATTTTTTCTTATATTCATGGGAGTATGGCACTGTTCTTTTGGCATATTCTTTCTGTGATAATGTGCCTTAAGGTTGTTTTAAATGTGCTGCATTGTTTTAACAAATATTGTGATGCAACAATAATATTGTCCATGGGTGAAAGCTATTTTAAAAGATGAGCTCATCTTTGAAATTTTTAGCTTAAAAGAAAAAAAATATATTTCAAAAGCTTTTTTTTTCTCTTTTTATTTCATGCCAAAGAATACATCTCATCATTCTATGATTATAACTGTCTCTTAAAACCTGTAAATAAGTAATAAATTGCAAATGCTACTTTTGTAACTTTTAATTTTCTTTTATATTTGTAGTAAATTTCGTGTTTCTATTTTTCCTTAAACAAGTTGTTATTACAAAAAAAAAATGTGTTTGTGTTGGTAGCGCTAGCCAACAAATAGGGTTTTTTTACATTTTAATTTTAAAATTCTAGTGTTTAGATTATAGAAACAATAATAATGATTTTTTTTAGCAGATTCTTCTTATTGTACAATTTCCCTTTTGTTTTATCCCGCCTTTTTTTTCTACTTCCACTTGTTAATTGTAGTTCTCTAATCACATACATCAATAACAACTTTTTATCACAGGCAGTTTGCTATAATTTTTTTTTCTTAGTTTCTCCAAAATGTGATTTATTTTAATAAATATTTCGTGTAAGTGCATCAGCCCAGTTCCTATTTTTCTTGTGTCTTATACCTGCCACTTTACACTGATGTATATTTTTAGAAGGACTCCAATTTTTTAGTGGTATTTGTTAAAGTGTTTCAGTATTTCAACTAGTCATGTGGCCAATTTTCAATTTACTATGTTCTGATTAAAAATCGTTTTGGTAAGAATTTATAAAATCATCTGGCATTATTTCAAATATATTGTTGTTATTATTAGACTTCAATTTATATTCTATTTACCAACTAGTATTGCTGATTGTGTACTCTAAAAAGAGAAGGAGACTTGACCGTGTATAATAAAATAATGATCAGAAATCGAAACAAATTTTCAGTTTCTTAGAAATTTACGTATTATGTATGAGATATTTAGTAAAGATATATATAAAAAAAAAGCGCTTTGTACTACAATATACGATGTGTATTGCATAATTTCAAAATGTGAGAAGCGTCAGATATCTGAAGAAAATTTCTGTAAATGCTGCTCCCAGTGAAGTTCTAGAATATTACTCTGTTATTTTAGTTTTGCAAATAGTTTCACTTAGTTATAATAAAAAAACAAACAGAAAATTGGAACGATACTTGGTAGTGAACTCTATTTGAAATTATTGACAAAATTTACCAATTTTTTATTTATTTATTGAAGAAACTTTGTAACTTCTAACAATCATTCACCGGACATTTTGTTTAGGATTTTTTTTCTTTTGCATAAAGTACAAAGCGATAAAAGAATCCAAGATCACAACTGTGGTTTTATGACATACAGGCTAATTTGTGGTTGTAGTTATTCAAAAATAAACAGCTCAGTTATGACATTTTGCACTAATTAAATGTGTGCAAGCATATATTCAGTCTGTATGCTATTAAGTAAGAATTTGGATTGGTTGAGGTTTGTTATTCTGTTTTGAGTGTCGGCCACAATCATGTACCAAGAAGTTTACGGCTGTATTTATTTGAAGAGGTGAAAAAAAAAGTATACACTTCTGAGATGCTTAATAAAAGTGCATTTCAACAATTTCTAAGTATACCTTTCTTTCAGTAACTTATCTATTTTTGTTTTTATAAACTTGAACTTTAGGACTACAAGAGAGAAAAGAAGATTTGGCATCGAATACGTGAAGATATTGACCTGTCCGAACAAATCAAAAACCAATTTTCACCAATATTAATGTAGCAAGTCTTTGTTCTTCCGTTTGTCAAACTGGGTACAATTTATCGTTTTACATTTAGTTAAATATAAAGTAAAGTAAATTATTTAAACAAACAAATCCATAATTCAACCATAATTTCTTTTTTTTTTTTTTTGTTAAAGCAAAGAAAATATCAATATCAAACTAAAATTCTAGTTAAAAATAATATTATTTAAAAGACTTATCTATTGATAATGCAAATATTTTGCTAATCTTGATCCTAAATCATTTGTTTAATTGTTGTAAAGTTACAACTTATTAAAACTTCAACTTGATCATTGAAAACCATGATTGGGGAATTTTAAATATCCCACAAATGGGCTTGAAAAAAATAATAATAATTAAAATTCAAGTCACATCTGTTTTCTCCATCTTCTGATTGGTACAATAATTTTAAAAATACAAATTCTTGGATGTCGTTTATTTTTTATTCATCTTTTTATAACAAAGGAAATTTTAAAGAAGTTTAAATTTGAACTTTGGGAAAAATAATTTTAGTTTTTTTTTCGTAGATTAAGTAAAGATTTTTTTTTAAATATGTGTTGACTAAAATTTTAGTCAGTAAATGAAAAGAAACAAACATCGTCACTGTATTCCAAAAAAGTTTTATTTTTTGGTTCAGTTCCGACTAATCCTTTTTCAGGAATTTTATTCCTCCCACTCCTTGTTTCTCATGTTACTTTTTTTTTATTTTTATACAATTTTTGTTCTTTTTCAGACCTATGGATCCAGTCCCAAAACATGTAGTTAGGTACGTTAACATGGTTTAAGCATATTTTCACAGCAAGCGAGAAAAAAAAGTAGAATGAAGTACGGTGAAGGGCTTTTTAAATTTTATTTTACATTCATCCCACTACTGTTATCATTAGCTTTAGTGCCTTATCATTGATTTGTACATTCTCTGGAGAAACACACAAAATCAAATTTTTTTTAAATTTCTCATCATGTTTCTCATTTTATTTTGGCTATTATGCGGTATTATCACTGTTTATTTTAGGAAGAGTATAAACTAGGTAAAGAAGCCAAGTTGTCTTTCTGACCTTCACTCACTAAAGCTTTTGAAACAATTTCAAAGGGGTGAAGTTTATGCCTTTTTTTCTTCCAGTTCTGCTGTCGATGATGATCAGGTCAAACCTAGGTCACTCAGATTTACATGGAGTATGAAAACAACTTCCGCTAGAGACCCTCTGTCAATAATAGCAGAAATTAGGAAGGTAAGAATAAGATAATATATTAATCGCTATTGAAAAAAAATTTCCTTCTATATTAAAATTTACCTCTACAAATTAGCGCCCACTCGATGGAAACGTTTAATTTATTCGTTATTGTTCAACAGGTTTTGGACGCTAACAATTGTGATTATGAACAAAGAGAAAGATTCCTTCTTCTTTGTGTGCACGGAGATCCGAACACAGACTCCCTGGTCCAGTGGGAAATAGAAGTTTGCAAACTGCCACGCTTGTCTCTCAATGGGATCCGATTCAAACGCATATCTGGAACTTCAATCGGCTTTAAGAATATTGCTTCAAAAATTGCCAATGAGCTGAAACTGTGACTGAGGTCAGAGGAGGAACCAAAAACAGAACAACCCGAGGGAACAAGTGAGCCAACGAAAAACGATAAACGAAACTCCGAGCTTTACAAATGGCCACTGAAATTACCTCCAGTATCATTTAACGTGTGATTAAGTGTGTCTATAAGAAAAAAATATATGCACACTAATATATAAATATTATACATAATTCTAATAAATATTTATATGAAAAAAAGGACCATAAACAGACGTGGTTGCCACTGTCTCGCGTGGGTGTTTACTAACTGAGGCCTTTTTATTCAGGCCTCATTGTATATAATTTTCATTTTAAGAACTATTCTAAATTCAAATGAAATAATTTACCGAAATGCCGAAACTAAATTCATCGTTTTAAATTTAATATACACTAGAAATGAACAGCTTTTCAGATTTAAAAAGAAAAAGATGAATAAAAAGTTATTTACAAAAAAATTTTTATGTTAAAATATGAAAAGTTGTAATGTTTATACCAATATTGTGTACATTCTTTTTAAACGGAGTGTGGATCTTATATAGTTGAAAAAATAAATAAAAATTACAAATTATACAGTATTTGTACTTGTGCTACTCTAAATTGTGGAAAACGGGTCCAATAGAAGGACTGCGGAATGTTTTTCCAGAGGAAACAAAATTATATATTTAAAATATTTGTATGTGTATGTGTGAGAATGCGTGAATTATTAATTGAAGAACCACACAGACACATATTTATATTATGATAGTATTTCAAAAAGTGAGGGAAAAACACAAGAATAATAGGAAAGGAAGCATTGAACGAGAATTCGATTAGTAGTACTTAATTAGTCAGTGCGAAAAAGGAAAAAGAAACATTTAGCTGTGGATGCAGAAGGGGATTTATAAACTTGTGTATAAATAGTGAATTTATTTTTACTGTCAAATCAATTTATATATACAAAAAAAAAGATATCATATGTAATAACACATCTGAAAGGAAAATAAAAAAAGTGTAACATTTAGATATTGTTTTCTTTGTTATTATTTTTTATGGATTATTATTATTATTAATTATTATTATTGATGCTATATCTAATTATATATTGTAACCTTGTTTTAATATGTAAATTTGCACATAAATTAGCTAATAATCTTAACAAAGAAAAAATTGGCACACAAATATTTTGTCAAATAAAATTTGTAATTTTTCAGAATGTTTTAAATTCTCAGGGATGGGTTCAACCATACAGATTCATGTCGTAAATAATTAAATCATGGAGTTGTAAACAGGTGTTGGCAAGTTAAATATGAAATGTTTTACTCTTGTTTATTTTCAAACAACAAATCGAAATAATGCAATGTTTTTTTTTACTATAATTATTTTTGTAGCGTTTTCATGTAGTCTGTTAAAGAGCTCATTTTCACTTTGGCTGCAATTCTCTTGAATTATTTCTTGCCATACACCTTGTTTGCTGTAGCTGATTTCAGGATACTCATATCTGTGCTCAACATTGCTGTTCTTTTTAATAGTTTATTTCTGTTTTTAACTATACTGTAAATATTTAATGTCTGCTTCCTCTAATTTTATATTTTTTATTTAAATGGAAAGAAAATTGGCTAGTTTGGTCGGGAGGGGTGGGAAATGAAATTCCTGTAAGAGTTTCTCCATGTAATAATAGAATGAATTGAATATGTATTTATTATTTATGCCTACAGTGAATTCAATAATAAAAATTTAATTTTTTGTTCTCTTTATTTTTTATTTATTCGATGGTCAATCATCTTCGTCCTTTGAGGGGCATAACTCCAGATTTGTAAATAATTGGGATATGTGGTTGAAGACAATAACAAGGAATTGCACCAATTTGAATTGAATTTTTCTAAATATATGTATGTACTGAAAATGTTTTTGAATCAAAAGAAACCTGTCCTCTTGACTGTTTTTTTTAAAACAGTTTTTTTTTTAAGATTGAGCACAGAGCTCAATTCCTGCAATGTTTTCGTACCAAAAATCATAGAAACTGGTGCCAAATAAACTTGTTTGAATTTAAATTGTAATTATAAAAGGAAATGAACTTGTAGTTCTATCTTTGAATCAGTGTAACATGTACAATCGACACAACTTTTATTGCAATGCCCGATTCATAATTATTTTCCAAAGTAACGAGGTTTTTAAAATATAAAAGGGGAATTGCAATTATGTTTTGTTCTTCAAATGCTTTCAGACAAGTAGTAAAATATGAGAAAAATCAGATTTGTTCCCTATTACGGCATAAATCACATCAGGATATATGTTTGGTGGTAGTAAATATTTCTAAAAGTATTCTAAATTGATTTTTTGAAAATGTGACTGGTTTAAAATAGTGTAATATAACTAAAATATTGTTGTTACCTTTCTGAGAGAACAGTTGAAACAACAAAAAAGGAATTACAGTGTATTTTTAGAACATTTCAGGTGCTCCATTTGTGTGCAAATCTGGTGATTGTTGTATTCCTTAAGGAA